CCTTGGGATGCCAGAGCACCCAAAAAAGACCTATCATCATTTTTATATATGATCAAACTTTAAAAAAAAATTGATTTAGGCCTAGTGATCAAATGAAGCCTGGAGGTTAATGTCCGTTTAAGATAAATAGTGTAAATTGACACTTTTCTGGGTGCTATTGTTTAAATCCATGTGGCAAATCAGCATAGCAGTTTATGTGCATACCAAAATAATTAATTTGTAATATTCTTTTTAATGGAAGTTTCGATTTTCAAGAACTTATAAAAATCTGAAAGGTGAAATTCATAGATTTTTCATGCCTGCCGGTTTTTATTGCCTCTGGTAATACATGTCCTTATTCCTTACATCACATATATGTGAGAAATAATAGACATAATATTTAAAGATACCTTTTGATAAAGAAAATCTTTCCATCTCTGGAGATGAGATTTAGCTTTAAAGGATGAGGAACAGGTTCCAGATGTATTTTTCAATTGCTTTCCTTAAGTATTGACAGAGGGAAGGTTTTATCAAGGTCTTTGTGATGTGCTTGTTTATCATAAGTAGACATTAGCAGAGCACATCCAAGTGCTTATCACTAACAGATGACTAAAGGGAACATATGGCAGGGAAAATAAATATATATTTGTCCAGGCAGTGTGGCTTGTTAACACTCCTACACTCATCATAAACTGCATTTACATGTATTTACAATACCTTGGACAAACAGTGCAAGGCCAAGCAGTGAGGGGTTTTTCAATATAAGAGTGCCAGGTATTAATTTAGAATTCTTTTTAAGAAAAGAATTATATATTTTAGTATGGGGGATTTTTATAGCATTTGTTCTGCTTCAGCCTTGACATCTTTACAGCATTATACTTCTTATAGTCATTATACAGTGTTAACAGTTTTACTGTCATGAAATGCTTCTGGGTTCACATACCTCTCTGTGTAAGTAGGAATGTAGTAGGACTAGGTGACATATTGAACAATAAGAAGGGTTGAATTAGTCTATGTCTAAGATCAAATTCAGGTCAGGTCAATAGCTAGGTTCTTTTTGACAGGCTTTTAGAAGACCCCTTGTTTCTACAACATAGTGGCCGCATCTACACGAGTGGCAGACTGCGCAGTAACCAGAGTTACTGTGCATTACTATCGCTGCAGTTTTTCCTGATGCTACAGTAGCTTGTTACAACTGCACAGTAGCATAGCCACATGGTTAGTGCCTGGCAATGGTACTGTGCAGTAGCAATGAACTACGGCGGAGTGGCTCATTGCTATTGCACTGTAGCATCTCCTGTAGACATGCCCAGTATCACCCAAATTAGCAGTTTGATTAAAAAAGACTCTGGACTAGTGGCATGATCCAGTTCCCATTGAAGCTGATGGTAATTTTGGGAGGCATATTGACAGAGTTCTGGGGAAGATTTGCATAGAGGAGTTCTGCAAATGTGTTAGTCTTTCATGAGTGTAATAGTCACAATTATATAATGAAGAAAGAAAAACAGTATCTGTACCTTCTGTAACTGCAAAATCTAATTGTTCCTTTCTCTTCTTACAGTCTCATTAGGAAACAGCCAAACAATTTTAAAAGGGATTCGGATGGGTGCACTTTTTATTTATTTATTTTTACAAATAGTTATAGAGAAAACCAGAGGAAAAATGCCCCTACATTTATTTTAATTTTCTGAATTGTTCTAGCTATTTTTTGGTATATGTGTCATGATCTGAGTATTGGTCCTCAAAAAAACAGTTTATTCTTCTGTTTTAGTAGCATTAAAGTCATAATACTTTTTTAGTACATGATAGCCCAGTACTATGGGATTGAATTATTAGAGATGAATTTCAGCTACATGGTAATAATTTAGCCAATAATTCCTACCAATTCTAATCCCAGTCAGCTGAACTAGTACAGAGAAAGCCCTAGCAGGCAGAATTGGTTTTACCAATGATTAGATTTGTTACTCAGTGGTGATAGAGAGATGTTTCAACCATGGGAGCTTTCCCAGCTTTAATGCTAATTTAACTGAACAGCTGTCAGAACTGATGTGAATTTGGTTGTAAATTTTCTCTGTAAATTTAAAAAATTAATTTAGATTGGACCTTCCCTAAAATTTGAATCAGTTTGGACCTAAAGACATGCTTCAGAGTTAGGACCATCCTTATGAGTTGAAAGCGAATACAAACTTTCCCAAAGTTCAGTAATACTTGAATATGTTGTAGTTATCTTACGGTATTGCTATAAAGTTAGAGTTGCATTTCACTGAGGGATCAAAAAAGCTAGTTACTGATTTAATAAACACTCATTCAACAACAAATCTTTCTGATATTTAGCTGTAAGTGGTATGGAGTATTCAAAAAATGCAAGTGGGAGATAAATGGATTTTAAGTTTGATGTATCTCAAAAGTTTTCCCCAAGTGATAATTCTAACTTCAAACATATTAGCATAGGGGCTCCTTAAAAAATATTTGTGCATATTATGTTAAGCATGAGATTATTTTTCATATTATTACTAGTTATCCATTAAAAACAGCATTCTTGCAGTAAGCTAAAATTGCATGATAAAGCAAGAGAGATAACGATAAATAAGCATATGTGTAAGCCTAGCTAGAAGGAACAAAATATACTATTAGTGCCCCTTGTATGAAGTTAATCCCATTTCTTGTAGCTGTTTATTCATTAATTAACGAGGCCTTGCAAAAAAGAGTGGAAAATGTGTTTTTAAATAGTGGTTTTGCATCCCTTCCTCTCGGACCATTTTCATATATTCATAAAATTGTTTGCCCTCTGAAGGTGCATTAAGTAATAGGGCCAAATGCAGCCTGTGAAGTCTTGGAATCCAGCCCCCAGGGCTCCCCATGGATCAGGAAATTTGGCAGCATGGAAGCAGTGGCAGTACTGCTACCCCTTCCTGCTGGCAAAATCCGAAATCCCGGAAGGTAGGTAGGTCCCAGATCACAACCTTCCCCCTGCATGGCCAGATTGGGGGTGGATTATGCCCCTTTCCCTCCATGTGGCCATTTTGGGGCCGGGCTGCACCCCCTTGTTAACACAGGGCCAGACCATGACCCTCCCCTGGGGCAACTGGTTCAGGGCCAACTCACACTCCCTTCCCTCCGCCCATCCCCCAGAGGGCTGGGTCATACCCCCTTCCCTTCTCCTAGCTAGGTTGGGGCTAGGGCACACCCCATCCACCCACAGGGTTGGACCATGCTCCCTCCCTGCATGAGGCTGGGTTGGGGCCAGGCCAAGCCCCCTTCCCCCACCTGTCTGGAATGGCCAGGCTTCCCTCCTTTGTGGCCAGGTGAAGCCCCACTGTGCCCACCCTGGGTGCCAGATAGGGTCCAGTGGCCAGAACCAGCCTGCAGAGGGATTGGGCACTAGCCATCTGGACCACCAGCCAAAAAGGTTGAGCACCACTAGGTTAGGCAGTAATTGTCTCAGGTGTAGGCAGTCAGAAACTTGCACCTGAAATGGACGAAGATGCTAACTAATTGTTTTTCACGTTTGGTCCACCTCACTGGCTGAGGTCCAGATGTAAAGTAATGGGGAAAAGAGAGATTTTTTTAATGTTTGGGAATAATATTTTTTTTAAAAACCCCACCTTTGCTTTATTTCAGTGATCTGTCAGCTTGAATGGATTTGATTTTAGATGCATTTAAGCGTTTAAGGTATTATTTGTGGAATGTGGAACCTTTCACTTTGCGCTGACCTATAACAATCAACTTCAGATAGTTAGGAACCAAAAGTTGTTGGTTGTTGTCTTTGTGAGATGGATTTCAGCTCCCAGTACACATGTAATGGCATCACAACTCCAGCCACCATCAGAGTTGGCTCTGAGATCTCTGTTGGCCGTATCAATTCTCAGTAGTGAGGCAAAAGGCTTATTGGACCACGGAGACTGAGCTCTCTATCCTGGAAGCTATTTCTCTGTGTTAATTTTGAGACACAGTCCAGGGAAAAGATGTGGGAGAATTTGTATTGTCACTTCTTGTGCTGTCCCTGATCTCTGAATATGTGACTGTAATCTCCACAACTGTCAGTTTGATACATGTCATACAAATTATGTTCTTTTTAAGAACATATTTTTATTTCTCCATGGTAAGGCCAAATTGAAATCTATGGGTCAGTCCTTTCCCTTCGTTTCATAAACATTCAGTTCTGGAGGGTAACCCTGGGATGCAGTCTTAAATGGTGCAGCTGGACCTCCTGAGAATATTTTTGGTTAGTTGTCCTCTTGTGATTAAGGATAGAAACTCTCTCCTTCACATTCAGCTTCAGAATTTTTTAGCAGTTGCATAGTGCATTCAACTAAATCACTATTTGACTAGTAACTTTGCAGCTGGAAAAAGCTTGTTTTCTTTGAAGAAAGACTTCTGTGAATGTGCTATAGTTGAGCCAGCTGATTGCTTGTAGGTTCATGCTTTGTGTATTGTCAAGCACAAGGAAATGTTCAAGGATGTAAGTAGTAGCTCACTGTTGTAGATGACTGGCAATTCAATTACATGCATCCAGGAAAAGTTTTAAAACTGCTACTTCTTTTGTCTCAAATTTTAATCTTCTAAATATTTTTAAATTAGTGTTCCCTTCTACTGCCATTATGTCACGGT